CTAGACAACCCTAATCTAACCTGCCTCATTTTGGGGGTGAGGGGGTTGTTGTTTTTTTTGGTTTTTTGAAACAAGGTCTTGCTTTGTAGTTCTGGCTGTCCTTGAACTCAAAGTGATCCTCCTGCTTCAGCCAAGTGCTGGGATTATAGGCTTTTGCAGTCATACCAAATTTAACCTGCCTCTATTTTAGAGAACTTCCCATGGTTCATTTGGGGATCACAAAAATGGTATAGATCTCCCAGGGCTATATTAACCATTCTAGATCCCATACTGTATTCCCACTGCTACACTTCTGGTTTTTTGAGACAGGGTCTCACTATGTAGTTCAGGCTGGCCTTGAGCTCACTATATAGCTGAAGTTGGCCAGAATGGCTAGCATTTCTGCCTCAGCCTCCTGAGTGCTAGGATTACAGACATGTGCCACTGCACCTGGCTCCACCTGGGATACTTAAGCAAGAAATGCAGTGGAGAAGGATGGGGAAGCAGGGGCCAGCAGGGTTCCTAGGAGTGTGTCAAGGAAGCAGCATTACTAATATAGCTTTTCTGTCTTTGATTATATGTGGATTTTTAAATAATTTTTTGTAAAATATGGACTTTTAGCATAGTAGTTACTCTTGCCATATATGTTGTGGTTTTAGTCATAGATTTTTTTTTCAGTCATAGATCTTTATATCTTAATTTTTTCATATTTTGGTTAATAAAATATTTACTAAGATTTTTTTACCTGCCCAGTAACTGGGAAGAGTAAACTCCCAGACTGTTGAAGTTTTTGGTTTTTGTTTTGTTTTGTTTTGTTTTGTTTTGTTTTGTTTTGTTTTGTTTTTGAGACAGGGTCTTGCTATGTACAAAATGTAGTTCAGGCAGGCCTCAAACCTGTAGTTGATCTTCCTGCCTCAGCCTCCCAAGTGCTGGGATTATAGGCATGCACCATCACCCCCAGCAAGGTTTTTGGTTTTTTTAGTTGACTAAAGTTGTGAATTAGAACTCTCAAAGGAGGGGCCGGGGATTTAGCTCAGTGGTTCTGCCACCTGCCTTGCAAGTGCAAGGACCCAAGTTCGATCCCTGGTACCCCCCCAAAAAAAACTCTCAAAGGAAACTTGGCTGTAATTTTAGAATCTATGTTTCATATTATACAGAAATCATGGGTAGCCAGATAGCCAGAGTTTTCAGTTGATGTTCTGGTCTGTTTAATGAGTTTTTTGTTTGTTTGTTTGTTTGTTTTGAGACAGTCTTGCTCTGTAATTCAGGCTGGCCTAGAACTCGAAGCAGTCCTCCTGCCTCAGCCTCCCATGTGCTGGAATTACAGGCATGTGCCGCCATGACTGCTGTGTTTGAGTTTTTGATAGCAAAGTATTAAAATATTGCCCGGATATATTTGTTTTCATCTTTGTTTAAAGTTTCTTTGAATAGAATCCACCTTGATTTTTTTGAATATGTGGTTTAAGGCTCTTTCAGTAAGTCAGTTGATTGTTCTGTATGTCCCTGTCACCATTCAGGCATTGTTGGGCCTTAAATCCTGAGAGGAATCTTAACCAACCCCAGCACCTACAAAAAGATTTGCTCTTTTGACTCCTTGCTCCGAGCTGATTCTTTTCTTATCTTCTCCTTTAAAAGGGGGACTGGGAAAGCAGAGTGTGGTGGTATGTGCTTATAAACCTAGCATTCTGGAAGTCTGAGGCAAGGGGATCACAAATTCACCCCCACCTGATGAAACTGATGAAGTTTAACAATTTAGCAATACTTTGTCTCAAAATTAAAAGGGCTGGGGATATAGCTTAGTTGGAAGTTCCTGGGTTCAATTCCAAGTACCACCAAAAAATGGGTTTCTTGTTAGTTAAGCCACCAAGTGGCACATAAATGTTTTCTCAGTTTTTTGAAAATGCTATAAAGCAAGCCCTTCCCCTTTAGAGACCCATTACCCTTCCATTCATAGGCCATTTTACTACCCCCAAATCCTGTCCCATTTGTGTCCACATGTACCAAGTGTCTGAGTCTATGTTAAAAACAAAGCATTTGGTTATTTATTTTATGATTACCTAGAAAGAGTTTAAAACATTCTGTTTAAAGGCATGTTTGAAAAACTTGTTTTTGTTTTTGTTTTGGTACCAGAGATTGAACTCAGGACCTTGAGCTTTCGAAGCAGGCATGGTGCCACTGAGCTAAATCTCCAGTCCCTGAAAAACTCACATTCTTAGTTTATATTTTAACATTTCAAAATAGCACACATTTATTTTTCGTAAAAAATTTACATGTTTACACTGGGAACAGTGGTAAACACAATCCCAGCAGCATAACTTTTTTAATATAAAGGACAAAAAGTCATTCAAGATGACACTATCTACATTTTGTGTACATAATTTGACTTTCACATACACATCATGCATACACACTTTTCTTATGCCTCCTCTTTGCTTTAAAAAAAAAAAAACAGCATGGGTCATGCCATGTGATTTTGTTATTTTGAGACAGGGTCTCACTATATAGACCAAACTGACTTTGAACTCATGGTTCTCCTCCATCACCCTCTAGGTCCTGGGGTTATAGGAATCTGCCACCCTGCCCAGTTCGTTGGTTGGTTGATTGGTTATTTATTTATTTATTTGTTTGCAGTGGGGAGCATCAAACCCAGGCTTCATGGATGCTAGACAAGCCCTGTAACACAAGCTACACACCCAACCTTTTTATTATTTTACTGAGATAAGGTCTCACTAAATTACCCAGGTTGGCCTCTAACTTGCCTCAGCCTCCTGAGTATCTGGAATTATAGCAGGCACCACCATGCCCAGCATAGATGTGGACTTTTGCAATGTGTCTTTTGCTAGTCACTGGTTTCTTATTACCCTTTAGACATACAGTATATATTTATATTTTTACCTGCCATGTTTTTGTTTTTGTTTTTTGTACCGGGGATCAAACTCGGGACCTTGTGCTTGCGAGGCAGGTGGCACAACTGCTGAGCTAAATCCCCAGCCACCTGCCATGTTTAAAAACTCTTATTATTAAAAAATTTAAAAATTTTTAAAAAATGAAAACTCTTATTATTGGGGCCAGGCATTTAGCTCAGCAGTTCCGCCACCTGCCTTACAAGCGGAGGGACCTGAGTTCGATCCCCAGTACCAAAAAAAAAAAATCTCTTATTATTTTTCTAAATTCTCAACTATTATTGACTACAATCTTTTTTAAATACTGTGATTTTTTTTTTAATTGAAATTACAAATGAGGAAGTCATTTCACAGCCTTTAAGATGCATAGCAGGTGGTGTTTTTTGGTTTGGTTTGGGTTTTTTGGCTTTGTAATTCAGGCTGGCCTTGAACTGCCAGCAATCCTCCTGCCTCAGCCTCCCTAGTGCTGGAATTATAGGGGTGTGCTACCACGCCTGGCTGAGGAACTTTAAAAAAAAAGCTTTTTAATTAGAGAATAAATGGAAGTTCATTGTAGATGATTTAGACAGTATAAAAAGCATAAAGTAGAGGGTCGAGAATCTAGCTCAGTGGCTTCAGCACCTGCCTCACAAGCACAAGGCCGCGAGTTCTATCCCCGGTACCAAAAAAAAAAGCATAAAGTAGAAAAGCAATGTCATTAAGAATTCTGCCAACATAAGTGAGGTCTTGTGTGCAATTTTTGTCCCTATTTTGGTCCCAGTTTTTGTACTGAGGATCAAACTCAGGACCTTGTGCTTGCGAGGCAGGCAGCAGTACCACTGAGCTAAATCCCCGGCTCATGTAATTTTTCTATTACATTAAAATGTTGGCTAACATCATTTATTTAATCATTCCTCCTAAGTTGCATTTTCTTACTGTTGTAAATACTCCTATGATGGGTATCGTGTATAAAAATGGGTTGTGTTTTTATTATGCTTTAAGATGCTTTCATGTCTCACAGCAGAAGTGAACATATTCAGTGCTGTCTTATGTATATAATCAGATAGATAACCTTCCAGAAAAGCTACTTGAGTTATGCTTGTATGAGCAGCATCTAAGCATGTGCACATGCCAGCCTCCTAGGCATTGAGCCTCAGCGTTGTTTAACATCTTTGCTGCTCTGAGCTGGGATTGGTGCACTCCTGTAGTCCTGGCCACTCAGGAGGATCACTTGAGCCCAAGATTTGGAGACCAGTGTAAGCAACAATGAGATAATGAGACCCTATCTTTAAAAAAAGAAGAAAAAAAACTTTGCTACTTTAACAGGTGAAAATGGTCTTGTGTTTTAATCAGGAACTTTTTCTTGAATAATTAATAATGAGAAATTGAGCCCTGTATTAAATGGGATTCTATCATTGTTTTTATCCCTCCCCCACCCCCTAATCATGTCTTAGGCCCGTATCCCAGAAGGGGGCCTTCATGAACAGAGATATCTGGAAAGGGGGCAGCATGAAGGAGGGAGTTTTGAAGTCAGCCATCAGAAATGAAAGGCAAGCAAGAGCCCAGGTCAGAAGTCAGGACTTAAGAACAGATGTCCTGGGGGTAAAATAAAGATATTGATCCATTAATGTTAAAAGAATTTCAAAAATTCACTAAAACAGTAAAACAGCCAATTTCAAGGAAAGGGCATCACTAAGAAATACCATGGGGATGTGTATCTTAGACCCAAACTACAGACTGCAGCACAGGGTCAGGAAAGAGGGAGCCTGTGAACAGCCAAGGTGGTCCCTGAGGCATAACCTTTATGAGGCTTTAACACCTGATAACCTACTCCTTGTGTTTTAGAGTGTTTTAGAGGTAAGTGTGAACTGGCTTTGTAGCTTTGGTATAGAATTGGGTAGCGCTGTCTGTTGAATATAAGCCTTTATTATGGTAAGTAGGAGTAACGGTATGATTCTATTTTATATTCTGAAAGTTGTGTTCTAAGTTGGTGATGTAACTTTTTTATTATTTTTTATTTATTTATTTATTTATTTATTTATTTATTTATTTTTGAGACAGGGTCTCACTTTGTAGTTCAGGCTGGTCTTGAGCTCACTGTGTAGCCCAGGCTGGCCTTGAACTTGTGGCAATCCTCCTGCCTCAGCTTCCTGAGTGCTGGGATTACAGGTGTGCACTACCACATCTGGCAGATATTAGACTTTTATTTCTTGAGTTCTTTAATCTTGTTTTAAATTTGCGAGTCTTCATGAACTTTAGTGTGGTGTCAGGGAATAGTTGATCCCCTTTTTTGTGAGACCATTTAATTTCATTTACCCTAGATGTTGAAAAATGTCAGAATGTTGAAACAGACACAGGTGTAATTGATTGTGTTTGCCCGCCCCCCCTTTAAGCAGCCACATTGACTTTAAAAGATCAAAAATAATAAATTTACTTAGGACAGCTGGGTTATGGTCATGATAGTTTGATTGACAAACTATTTGCAAGCATGTTGCTTTCTTGGTAGGTCCTTTTTTTCCGTGCTGGAGATTGAACCCAGGGCCCTGCACATGCCAGACAAGTACTTTTCCACTAAGGTCTGGTCCCATTTCATTGGACCGAAATTTGTTAACCTAGTAAAAGTGAAGCAGCTTGGCAAACTTAATCTTTTTTTTTCTTTCTTTCTTTTTTTTTTTCTGGTACCGGAGATCAAACTCGGGACCTTGTACTTGTGAGGCAGAACCACTGAGCTAAATCCCCGGCTTTTTTTTTCTTTTCTTCCTTGTAGAGCTGGGGCCTTGAACCATAGCATCACGTATACCAGGCAGGTAGTTTATCACTGAGCCCATTTAGTTTATTTCTGAAATGGTTTTGGATGAAGCAAGTAGGCCCTTAGAACAGTTACAAAGTAATACTGAATTAAAATTTGATATAGATTTTCCTCTACCTCCTATTCTGAAGGAATTTTTAAGGTCTAGGGTTTTTTTAGGATAATTGTATTTTTCTCACCCCAGTGTGTCAATATCCTGTTAGAGGTGAACTGGGATTTTCTGTGTGAGCTTAACAGTATAGGCTTGAGTTTGGTTATTTCTTTATCACTAGGACTTTTTTCAACAAATTATTTGTTTTTGAGAAAGGAGGGCTGTGAGTTTAATTTTCTAGGTAATTGGGATATAGGTTTTGTTTTTTTTTAAGGTTCTTAATGATGTTATTTTTCTCTGTTTTCCTGGACTGGTGTTAAAATTTTGATAGTTAATTTATTGTTTAAAAAAAATTTTTTTTGAGACAGGGTCTCGCTATGTAGTTCAGGCTGTCCTTGAGCTTACTGTGTAGCCCATGCTGGCTTTGGACTTGTGATCCTCATGCCTCAGCCTTCCAAGTGCTGGAATTCAGGTTTGCACCACCACGCCCGACAGTAATTAATTTATAAGTTTGATACCATTGATAGCTTAGTAGAGAATAAATGTACATGACTTACTAGTATTTGCATACTTCGGATACAGAAATGACATTTGTTTGCCACTTCATATTTTTTATAAGCTGCAGTTAGGCGTGTGGATATTTGTCTTCTACACTGCAGCGCTTAACTTGATGAAACTGATTTTTTCTCTTCTCCCAGAGCTCATGTTCTCAAACTGATCTTGTGGAGCACTTCTTTCTGTTTACGTATAGGGGCAGCAGAACATGACGGTGGAATGTAGGTTTTAGGTTAGTATCTGGGTTTAAAGAATCCGAGGATGTTTGAGTAACCTTGGCAAGTTACCAAACTGCTTCAAGTCTTAGTTTCTTCATCTGTGAGAAAAGAGTAAACTTGAGTTGTGAAAAATTAATGTGTGTAAAGCACATGATCTAGAAAGGCATTTAAAAATAAGAATAGTTATTATAAAGAAATTTGAAGAAAAGGCTTCTAGTGGGCTAGAGTGGTTGTGTTAATAGTAGTTTGGAATCAACTAAAAAAAATCACTTGGTTGCTGTTGATAGTAACCTTCATAGTTGGAAGTATAGTATTCTTAGATTTCTGACCTGTTTTTCTCCCATCATTCATGCTTATAAACATTTTGGTCTCAGTCACCATTCCTTGAAAACTAATTAAATGCATCCTTGAGTACATAATATTGTCAATGTCTATTCACATCCATCACAGCTAGGTATAACTATTGTCTCTCTGCTGGTCTAATTTTTGCTGAGCCTTAGAACCAAAGACAGACTCCAGGGGTTGATGTGGGACCTCCAGAATGGGGATTGCACAGAATAATCTTATTTTTCCTCTATTCTTCTAGTCTGTTTTGTTCTGAACCCACACATGTTTTCGGAAGGACCAGATGGCTGACACTGGCTAATGGGAACCAAAAGACGAGTGAAAGTAACCTGGTTGTCACATACCCCCAGCTTAGAGGTGCTTCACCCTGCCCCAAGATTAATTTCTTTTTTCTCTGGAGACTTCACCCTGCTGTATCAAAAAAACTACTGCAGAAGTTGGGCATGTTCATAGGCCAGCTCTTTGGCAGGCAAAAGAGGATCACTTGGGCTCATGAGTTTGAGACCAGCCTAGGCAACATAGTGAGACCCTATCTCAAAACAAAATTTAAAAACTCCACTATCACCTGACTTACCTGAGTTAGATTATCATTCAAGCAGCAGCGTTTCTTAAATGAAAAAGATTATACTCATAAGTATGAGAAAGAAGGAGAAGCCCTGCACTTTTAAAAGGAACTGGGGATTTTGTGGTTTACCCTTGGGATTTTAAAATCATACACCTGAATTAAAATACAGCTCTACCACTTGTAAGCTCCTTGACATTGAGCAAGTTGCTTAACTTCTCCAAGCTTCAGTTTTCTCATTGTAAAATGAGAATAATAGTACATTCTTCAAATTTGTTATGAGGAATAAATAAAATATGGTTAATTTACTATGTGCCAGGCACTATGTTAAATACCCAACAGGCACTGGCCTTTATAATTATTAAAGAGCTCATAATCAAATGAGAAAATAAACACAAAAGAAAAAAGAACAAGGTTTGGAAAAACCATAAACACTCTGCTGTATATATTAAAAATTGAATAGGCCAGGGATGTAGCTCAGTGGCGCCTCGCCTGCCTGGCAAGCACAAGGTCCTGAGTTTGATCCCCAATACCAGAAAAAAAAATTTTTTTCTGAATAAAAACACTAAAGAAAGTGCTAAGACAAGTTTCTAAAGCTTCATAAAAGAGGTAATTCTCAAGCATAAGGAAGAATATTGAGATGATTCATCTTGTGAAGTCAAGTTCAGAGTTTAGAGAATGACATGAAGGTATTTAGGCATCATTTTAGACTTTATACAGAAGAAAGATTTGAGGCCGGGGATTTAGCTTAGTGGTTCTGCCGCCTGCCTTGCAAGCACAAGGACCTGAGTTAGATCCCGGTACCAAAAAAAAAAAGATTTCACAGCTGGATTTCCCTGCTGCAATGTAGAGATAGGTTGACTGAGTAAAAATAACCATAGCCTGAGATACGTATATTGATTGAACAGGTAGAGACAATCCTGAGGGCCCAGCAAAATGAAACAACTATAGAACTTGGCAGTAAGCCCAGTGGGTAATCAGAGGCGAGCAGTCAAAAGTGATTACAAGGTTGTTGGGAATGAATTAGATATCAGGGGATCTGGAAGAGAGAAATCATGAGGTAGGTTTTCTTCTTTGAAGGTGAGGAAAGATCAAGTGCAGACTGAGCTGTGGCCAACCGTTTGCAGACCAGGAATCCACACCAGCTCTAATCAGAGAGCTCTTGGTGTGCAGGAACTGCCAGTTTGCCGACGTGAAAAGAGCCCCAGACTGGGTAATGGTGAGCCCTGAAGTCGCACCCCAGCTCTGCCACTCAGTGAGCACGGGTAAGTCATCCACCTTCTCCGGGTGGCCTTGAAGGCGCTCCCTCTCCTGAGTTTAAAGAAAGGGAGGCCAGAAAACCCAGAACAGCCTCCTTCCTGTCTCAGGATAGCAAAGGACCTTAGGAAACTACTCATATGGTAGCAGCTTCCAGTTGTGGTTATAAACACCCTCTGTTACCAGGCAAATCCTATTGCAACCATAATCATTGATCCCGAGATGTAAATGTGGCACTGGTTAATTCTGCTGTGAGGGCCCAACTGCTGGTTCCCTGGAATGTTGCAGACCTTTGTAATCCAGGCAGTAACACTGTCTCATGCACAAGCTTTTCTTTTGAGTTGGCCTCTCCTGAGCTCTAGTGTTGGTTGCAGAACTATTTTGTTCTACAGATTTCCAAGACTTTATGCAGACAGCAAGAATTACTGTTTTTATTACTGTCTTATCAATGTGTCCTTTTTCACCTCAATAAGACGAAGTTGGCTGAAGCATAGGATCAACATTGAGTGCTTTGAAAGAAAGCTATTTGATTCCTGTTCACTGAATGCCATTTCTTTCAGGGTAGATTTAAGGGCTTTGCCCTTAAAATACAGTGCTACTGGCTCTAGATTGAGGGTTCAAGCCACCCCGTGGGTTAACTTCAACAGATGAAAATTTTTCCTTGGCTACAGCAACATCCCTAATCCTGACCAGCCATGGAGAGGTTCGGTTCTTACCAGGAAAATGAGTGAATGTGGGAATGGCTCACCACATTGGGAAAACAAAACTCACATCCTGCTGATGGTTGGCTGAGGACTGTCATGTCCACATACAAAGAAAAGCATATGGCACAGTTTTAGGACAAAGGTGAGCAGAGATCCACCGTGGAAAGGGGCACATTTTTCTTATAGAGAGAATATCCAAGGCATGCCCCTCGGTAAGCAGTGTTGGTGGGTGACCATGGTCACGCGCATGGAGGCTTGCTTTCCCTACTCATCACCACTCCCCAGCAGGTTCCCATGTCCAGCACCCCCTTAGTCACACCCTGCTAAGGCAGTCATTGGATGGCCCGTCTTCTGAACAAGCCCTGCTCATCATTTCTCAGGTGGACCTATTCTCTACTTTCTTTGTTCATTGAAGATATTTGGAAGACACAGATGGCCTAAGGGTTTGATAAACTGCATGCTCTTCAATAGAACACACAGAGAAAAAGGCGGGCCTAGAGCAGTGTTTGGTCTCATCAGTATCAGGCATTAGGATCAGGGAAAGCCTATTTGGCAACAACACAAGCTTGGGTAATGATTTTGGATGAGGAGTCTGGTAACATTTCTAAAATTGAAGTCTGGGACTACCTTAGTTTGAAAACCTGTCATTCTAGTTAGACGTTTGCAGACTTCTGACTGATACTTGAGCAGTATGTTAGCTGTGGCAAGAAGGCTAGAGCATTACACAGATAAGAATGGATTATAGTTTAGAACAGCCCATGTACTCAGCTTGCTTGCTTTGTGGCGTCCCAGTACCTGTCTAGACCTCGTGAGAGTAGTGGTGTTCATTTTTAGACATAAAGTGACAGCAAGTGCCTCTTTCTACCCTTCAGTCCTTTGACCCAATTTGTCAGAGTAGAACATGACCAGAGGAAAAGTTTGTGAGAAGGCAGTAACAGAAATGTTGAAGGATTATTTTCTGATTTTTTGTTTGTTTGTTTTGGTATTTTGTTTTTGAGAGAGGATCTTGCTATGTAGTTTAGGCTGGACTTGAACTCACTCTGTAGCCCAGGCTGGCCTGGAACCCGTGACAGTCCTCCTGCCTCAGCCTCCCAAGTGCTGGGATTACAGGCATGAGCCACTACACTGGAGTTTTTCCTTTTAATTGAAAAGTTTTATGCATTTAATAGTAAGGCCTCATTGTCTGTTTGCACATAGTATGAGAAGGAAGATTAAAAGGCATGGCATCTGAGAGTAAGGTAAAGCGTGTTGGAGGGCTGTTTGTGCCTTTATTAGTCTCTGCTATATAAAGTCTCTAAGGTTGTGTTTAGATTCATTCTCCTTGATTCCTGGATCTTCTTCATTCTCACACTAGAATTATTGAAAGACGTTCTTTGTTTGTAATAGACCAGAAAAGGAAGTGTGTCTGCTGTTAGGGTTAGAGGCATTTTATCTGTTGGGTTATGTTTTGTGAGGTTTATTAGAGAACTGTTACATGTGTAATAGAGACACAGGCATGCGTACAATAGTTTGTATGCATCCACACCTCCCTACTTTGATAAAAGATTCATAAAGAGAGTACTTAGAGAAGACGTTAATTTCATATTACTTGCTGCAAAGCACAAGAAGAATGTTTAGGTTAATTTTTTTTTTTTTTTTGGTACTGGGGATCGAACTCGGGTCCTTGCGCTTGCGCAGCAGGCGGTGAAACCACTGAGCTAAATCCCCGGCCCAAAGGTTAATTTTAAGATTCTCTGATATTAGTTTACAAAAGGAGTTTTTGAAGGCACTAAAATTTAACTTACAGAAAGTTAAATTAAAATATTTAAATAAAGCTAATATTGAGACCCAGAGTTTTAAAAGTATTTTAGATAATAAAAATTAAATTTATCCCTGTCTGTTGCTTTTATGAACCTCTAGAACAACTATCTTGGACCTGACAAATTGTACAGTTTAAATTATCCATACTTAAAGCAAAAGGAGTAAAAATTTAACATTTATCTCTCATGCTTTGGGTGTTTGGATAAACTTTAGAAATAGGTAGTATAGTTCTCTCACTTCACAAATAAACTAAGACCCAAAGAAATGAAACGATTAAAATATGCTGTTCAGTGTTAGCTTCTATCAGAACCAGGACTAAAGCCCAGACCATTGCTTGCTGCTGCATTCTTACTGGTTTGGACTGAGGTGTCAGACCACAGGCTTTGAATGCCAGCTCTACTAGTTTTTAAAGTGAAGTTATTTAACTTTGGGCTTCAGTTTCTTTATCTCTGAAATAGGAATAATAGTACCTAGCTCCTAAGTGCTGTGAATATTAAATAAAATGTCTAATATAAGAGGTTACTTAAAGCCAGATAACATTTTATTGTTATCTATAGTCTTCCTGCCTTATTTGGGGAAATCATTCACTGTACTTATTCAGGGAAAGCAGATCCAAATAAACAGTAATTTGGTAGAAGCAGCCACACAACACTACAGTATTTTACTCTCAGAACAGGAGTTCCTGTCAGGTATGATTTGCTGAATAGGAAAGATTTTTGTTTTAATCTTCAGACCCATCCAGCATGCCAGTGGCAGAGAGAAGTGACAGTCAGATGCCTGATTTGAACCTTGGACTGGACTTTGACATTAAAATGCTCCAAACAGATTTTGTGGCTTTTTATAGAGGAATAGTTAAAATTCTTTTTGTGAAATAAGTTGGATCTTAAGTCAGCTATTTTATTAAGTGTCTTGAATCTCTCCCTACCCCTGCATTATGGCCACTAAGTGACCCACTTGTTGGAACCTTTAAGATATTTATTAGAGGACCGGGGATTTAGCTCAGTGGTTCCACCGCCTGCCTCGAAAGCGCAAGATCCCGAGTTTGATTGCTGGTAGCAAAAAAAAAAGAGAGAGATACTAGAGAAGGACTGTAAGGGTCATTTTCCTATAACCTCACAGATTGTCCCTCCAGCTCAGGAAAGAGGTATACCTTCAGCCTCAGCTTATAGAAAATTGAGTGTATTTATTAATTTTTCATTTTAAATAATTTTGCCTCCACTGAACAGATGGTGCTTACTTTCCTGAAAGGTCAGAGTGAGTTCTGCATGTAAGCCTTAGAGCACGATGATTTCAGAGCCTGGAAGAACACTTCCCACATGGGTCTGACAGAAGCATCATTTGGCATCCAAAACAGCTGGCATTCCACTTCAGTTACCCTGCAGAGCTTAGGGTCTAAAATTCTCTGACCCCTGAGGGAATAAAACCTTAATTTGGAAAGAAAACAGTTTGGATTTTCCTGTAATGCATGTGTTTAATCCTCAGGAGTCAGTGTTCTGACTTCACACTAGATGAGATCTGGTCATTGAGTGGTACCAAACCAGCAGCTAACTCCTAAGGGAAGGAAGCACATTTTACCATGCCCGTGTACTGTGTTCTCACTTGTCCCTCCCTATTAGCTGATGGCTTAGATCCATTTGATCATAAAATATCTTTAGGGAAACCAAAGTAAAGTAGATTTGTTTTTTATTTGCTTTATTAAAACTTTTATCTATGAAAATAATAGTATAGTTTTCCTGATGACCCATTCTACCTAGGAAAGGAAAAAGCAGCTACAGAATATTACCTATTATAAATTTTTAGTGACTGTAAAGCACTTTTGAACATAGTAAGTCAGTGATTTGGAGAGGCTTTACTGCCTGGTCAAATATAACAGCATGTTAAAAATCATTCCTATTAAGCTACTCAGCAGTGCTAGCCTATGGAAGCGTGAAACCACATTTTAAAGTCTTCATAGCCCATAAATTGGACTGGTGGCTTTTAAATTGTGTTTCTGCAAAGCACCTCCTGTTAGATAACTGGGTGTGTTTGTTTGTGTTTTAATGGAGTTGAGATTTAGTACCTCTAACAGTTTAAATGCCACTCAGACATTTGAACGTAACCCTCCAAAACTGGTCTACACTCTGTAACATAGCAAGTTGTCACCTTGAGAGACTTGTATGAAAAGAACTCCTAGTAAAAGAGAATTTCAACAACTCTAGGTTCTCTCACTTAAGGTGTTATTAAGTACATTACAGACTGGAATTATTTTTTGTTAGCAGGCTGGATGCCTGTTTCTAGTGTCAGTGTTGAAATGCAGAGAAGCACTAGTCAGTGTTTGCCACATACACAGCATTGTTAGCATCTAAAGAAATTGCTTGTAACTTTCCTTTGTGATTAGATAGGATCAGCTAGATTTTGGTTTTTAAATATCAACAGTGGGCACAAAGCTAGACTTTTCATAGCTGTGTTAGACCAAACTAAATAAATGCTTATTGATAACATAGTTTACGGGGTGTTTGTTTAATCTTGCTTGTAAGTATCTTGCAAATTATGTGCTTTACAAATTGTATTCTTCACTGGGCATTAATAGGATTTGAGGGGTTTGTTTTCTGTCCACTTTGTGTTAAACCACCATATCCCTTTGCTGGGAAATTCCTAGCAGTTTCATGTAAAGATGTTTTTCACTGATGATTTCTAGAGCAGTTAATTCATTTGTGACTAATTTGTTCAGGTACAGGAACAGGAACTTTATAAAGATTTGGTTTTTCTTCACAGTGGAGGTTTAAAATACCGTGATTTTTACCTGCTGTGTTACTCCAAATATGATTTAACAATTAATACAACAGTGCCTGACTGTAGATCTAATTGTTTCTAAGATAACTCATAAAACTTCAAAAAAAAAGATGTTTTCATGTGATGTTTTAAGAGCAGACATTCAACTTGTGAAGTTATATATTTTGATGCCTTAACCCAAGCATCCCTTGGAGATCTTTGCTGTTGCCTCCATCTACATGGGGAAATGAAGTGCTGTCTGTATATTGTCTATATGTCTAGGCAGCTCCCCTCTAGAAAGATAGGGGTCTACCTTGAAAAGTCTCCCTACCTCTTGCAGTGCCTGTTGGCACAAAAAGCAAAATGGTTTCAGTTAAGGAGAGGAGAAAACTGACCCTTAGTTTGCAAAAAACCCACTTGACCTTTGCTAAGCATGAACCTCATTGCTTTCTCTTGAATGCTAGTGAAGCTGGATGTCAAACTGATGCCAACTGGGATTTTGTTTGCTTTCTTCTAGGTATGGTTTTGTGGAGTTTGATGATCTGCGTGATGCAGATGATGCTGTTTATGAACTGAATGGCAAAGACCTTTGTGGTGAGCGAGTAATTGTTGAGCATGCCCGAGGCCCACGACGAGACGGCAGTTACGGTTCCGGACGCAGTAAGCATTTGAAGGGCATATTTGTATCAATGACATGCCTTTGTTATTAAATGTTAATTTTAAAAAGTAATTAATATTACATTTAAATGTATTGATGTTTACGCTGTTTATTTTATAAATTTTGTATCTTTTTAAATGTAGAATTGCAAATAAATGTCTTTGATAGTATTTAATTTAATTAATGACAAATTTCTTGTTTTAATACTTTATAAATGTTTAATGATGTGTGTTTGTTATTTTTTTTCTCTGTAATGCAATTGTTTAACATAGATTTAACAAAGACCTCAATGTTTTAATTAAAAGACTCCTTTGAGGCTAAGATGACTGCCTGTTCCATTTGCTGACCTTGAGTTACCTTTCCATGCGTGGCTCTTTGAACCTGTATGGCCCTTGGCTGACCAAAAACAGGAAGCCATGTGACGACCGCAACCTTTCCCCATTAGACCTGGGTGGTGAGGATCCTGAGGGTTAGACACAGATGAGATTAAACTGAAATAGGTGCCTGAAAATCTTTTTTTTATACAAAATATTCACAAAAACTTTAATCACTGTGAGTAACAACAGGAACTGATTAGTAATTTGGTTACTTATTTCTAAATTATTAAATTTAAATTTAATATTTTAAAATTTATGCATGTTAATTATAAATATTAATGATTATATACTTACAACTTTATAAATTAAATTTTCATGTTTAATAGCTTTTTATAAAAATTAATTTAAAATTAAGGGTGGGATTAGAGTTAAAATATATGTGCTGCTGTTTGGGGTGGGGAGTAAAGAATATATTTTAAGGGGAGTATGTTTTGTGTTACCTTTTGTTTTTCCTCCACTGACCTAATCTTATGTATTTGGACCTTCCAAAGGTGGATATGGTTATAGAAGAAGTGGCCGAGATAAATACGGCCCTCCCACTCGAACAGAGTACAGACTTATTGTGGAAAATTTGTCAAGTCGGTGCAGTTGGCAAGACCTAAAGGTTTGGGCCTCATTATCCTTCTGGGGTAAGATTGGGCAGGAGTTAACATTAGAAAACAGGTAAATTTACGTGTGCATACACCGGATGTAATGGTGTTGTGTCTCTGAAAGCTTCATCAGAACATTTGGAAATTCTCCAATTAAAATTCCCATGAGAGGGCCGGGGATTTAGCTCAGTGGTTCCGCTGCCTGCCTCTCAAGCGCAAGGTCCTGAGTTCGATCTCCGGTACCCAAAAAAAAATTCCCACGAGAGTACAAAAAGACACCAGAATTTCATTCATACTGCTTATTGTGAGGCTGTCACTCTAAGGACAAATCTTTTATGAAATTTTCCTCTATAGACAATGTGACAAGAAGATGCCAGTATAGTTTCTTGCCAGTAAAAGATTAGAACCACCAGTGTTTCTGGAAACACTAGCTGTAACGTGGAAATTTATGTTAGCTTCCAGTATGGATCCTTGTAGGTGAAACTGACAAGTAAAAAGAATGATTAGTTTCCTGTCTTATTTGCGGGGGGGCACCAATAAATAAGACATTGCTAGCAAAATGAGTGAGTACATTTAAGTTCAGCAGAGACAAGTTAGGAATCCTGTACATTTGTGTCGTCTACACTTAAGGCAGTATCTTTTTGTTAAAATTTGCTTTTGCTCCCAACAATGTTCAGATAACAGACAAAATCCAGAAAAGCTTAAATCATACAGTTGGTCTTAAGAGAAGAGCTGAGAACAGGACTTGACTCTCCGTGTGGAGATTTTTTACATTATGTTGCATTGTGTTGACTATCAGCATTATAGGAGACCCTTACTGAATGTCTACCAGTGAAGTTGTGCTTACTGGAGGAATGACATCAGAATTCTGAGAGCTAGGCATTGAATATTGTGAGTAGTGCAGCAGGCACCCTCCCAACCCCTACCCCCATACTGAGAACTGAACCTGGGGCCTTCACACTGAGCTACATCCCTAGACCTTTTTTGAGACAGGGTCTAACTGAGTTGCCCAGGCTGGGCTGGAACTTGCAGTCCTCCAACATTAGCCTCCCAGAGTGCTGGGATTACAGTCATGTGCCACCACACCTGGCAAAAGTTACTGTCTTGGGCCAGGGATTTATCTCAGTGGTTCTGCCACCTGCCTTGCAAGCGTAAGGACCCGAGTTCAATCCCCGGTACCAAAAAAAAAAGTTACTGTCTTCATGAGTACAAAATGCCAAGCCTTCATGTAGTGTCACTAAATATTCTACTAATATCTTATAAAAGTTTTCAATTTTTTTTTTTTGGTACTGGGGATCAAATTCGGGACCTTGCACTTGCAAAGCAGGCAGCAGTCAATTTTTTGATGAAAATGGGAATCTGGTTAGCTGCCTTAGTTGGCTTTATACTTCTGTGTCGTTGGACAGTTTTACTCTCAGAAAAACAGCAATTTTCTGGTAAGTTGAGGTTTCCTTAAGAGCAAGGCTTGGATTGAAGCATAGTTCTGCCACTTAACCATTTTTGTGACCTTAGCAAGTTCTCTACCTCTGTGTCTATTCTTCAACTATAAAATTGGATTAATACTGGGCTGGGGTTGTAGCTCAGTGGCACTGCACCTGCCTGGCAATCGCAAAGTTCTGAGTTTGATCCCCGGTACCAAAAAAAAAAAAAAATTGGATTAATACTAATTTCTAATCAAGGTTATTGTGAGAACTGAGTACATTTTTATTAAAAAGTCTAGAATGTTCCTGGCACAAAAAATGTTATTAATCAAGAAAATGCAAAAATTAATTTAAGAAATCTTGTTTTAAAATCTGTAATGCCCAATGCAGTGCCATTGATGTGAAAATGAGGTACTAGTATACTGTCGATAACATTGAGAGTGGTAGTTTCATCTCTCATGTGGGTGGTGTTAAGAATTGTTCCAGGAGTGTTACTGCTAACGTTCATATCCTACTCATTGGTTTACTACCTGAATGACCTTGAGCAGTTTACTTAACATTTCTGATTTCACTTTCCACATCTCTAAGATGGAGGTGACGATTTTATCTACCTTGTATGGTTATAGTTAGGACTGAGTCGCTTAAAACATGTGTAACAAACGTTCAGTAAGTTAGCTGATTTTATTACTAATCTGGAAGTGTGACAAGATAAAAGTAGTGACACTTTTTAAGCATCACCAGAATGATCCTGTATCTCATTTTGCCAGGGCAGTCCCAGCCTTGTCCTGAATACCCTCCTCATTCATTGTTAAGGGTATCCCACTTTGGATGGCTCCCTGCCTTTTACCCAGAATCCTTACTCCTGGAAATAATTCAACTGAAAAAAGAAATTTTTATACCAAGATGTTCTTGATTGATTATGAACAATAGCAAAAATCTGGACATAACCTAAAAGTCTTAACAATTGAGAGACCCTCAGAAAAAGTATTGGGCCCACAAACTATGAAGATTGTGTATATGTTAAAACATGTAAACATGTTTATGATGCAGTGAGCAAAGAATCGATATAAAATGACCTGTTTAAGGACCAGGGATGTGTTTGAGGACCAGTGGTAAAGTGTTTGCCCAAAAATGCCATTAAAAACAATGAATGAGGGCTGGGGATTTAGCTCAGTGGTTCTGCCACCTGCCTCGCAAGAGCAAGGTCCCGAGTTTGATCCCTGATACCGGAAAAAAAAAAAAGTGAGCAGAAAGCCTTTAAAGGGCCAGGGATTTAGCTCAGTGGTTCCACTGCCTGCCTCACAAAAACAACGAATGACAGTTTGTTATTTGTGGATGTGGTGAATATTTCAGAAAAGAAATATACAAAAATGAACTCCATTGACTATTCATACATTTGTTCTCCAGATACCTATTTGTATATTATATATATATAAATATGGGGGAAATTAGCAATAAGTAAATTGTTTGAAAAAATTTATTAAAGACATAGCCACTAATCCCTTTGAATACTTCCCTCACTTCAAACACATCCCAGTTTCATTTTCTTTTCAAATACGGAAATCACGTGGCCTATAGTACCTTAGTTGTATTGTCATTAAACGTTTTTGAGACGCGGTCTCACTATGTAGTTCATTCTGGCCTTGAACTCATAGTAAACCTCCTGTCTCAGCCTCCTAAGAGCTAGGATTATAGTCATGTGCCATCACACCTGGCCCCCCTAAACCATAGTGAAACCTGAAAGAGAATGAGGAAGAAGGCTTGTGGTGGCGGGACATGGATGGTCATGCCACTTTGAAACTAGGCAGTTAGCTTCAAAGAAGATGGGCAGTTAGTTTAATTTCATCATCATAATAGTGGATTTGCTTATGTTTTACCAATTCCTATATATATTTTTTTCAAGCATGGATATATAATGAAATATAAAAGACTTAACTTTGAACCAGGCATGGTGTTGCACACCTGTTATCCCAGCACTCTTGGGCCGGGGATTTAGCTCAGTGGTTGCGCCGCCTGCCTCAAAAGCGCAAGGACCAGAGTTCGATCCCCTGTACCAGAAAAAAAAAACAAAAACAGCTTCTGCACAATCCTAGCACTCTGGAGGCTAAGGTGGGAGGATCACCAAAAGTTCGAGAGGCTAGCCTGAACTACATTATGACACCTTGTCTCAAAAAAACCAAAAATAAAGAAGAAAAAAGACCTAACTTAAATGTAGTGACATTACATGCTATAAATAAATAATTTGGCAGTATAAAATTTAGGAAATGATAATTTAAAAATTTATATTCACAAGTATATTTAAAGGAGCAATTTAATATTTGTTTATTATTATCTCTATCACCTAATCCCTGCTGCTTTAAAGAACCTCAGTAAATGGTGGGTATATGGAAATATTTAAGCATACACTTCATTCTCAGGGAAGCTTTTTTTTTGGTACCGGGGATCAAACTCGGGTCCTTGCGCTTGTGCAGCAGGCGGCGAAATCACTGAGCCAAATCCCCAGCCTGAAGCTAACATTTTTTAAGTGAAAAGGAAAGCTTTCACTTTAATGATTGCATTAGATATTTTAGCAAAATGTATCCTAATATACTCAAGGTTGTTGGTTTTTTTTAAGGATTATATGCGTCAGGCAGGAGAAGTCACCTATGCAGATGCTCACAAGGGTCGCAAAAATGAAGGAGTGATTGAATTTGTATCTTATTCTGATATGAAAAGAGCTTTGGAAAAGTTGGATGGAACTGAAGTCAATGGCAGAAAAATCAGATTGGTTGAAGACAAGCCAGGTTCTAGACGGCGCCGGTCCTATTCCAGGAGCCGGAGTCATTCAAGGTACCATTAACGGTGTCTTTCTTGTGGTGGCAGTCACCACCAGTTTATTAATGATCACACAGATAATCAGCTGATGTTCCCTGTTTGGGTGCTCCATAGCATGATCTCATCTGGTTCAATAAGTTGAAACTTTGAATTGAACATTTATTTGTAAAACTCTTGAACTCTTTTGTCATGAGTACAAATAGAAGTAAAGTCCTCTCTCTGAGACAGAAACCAGTGACCTTTCACACTTCTTCTGGGGACACCACAGTCATACACTAGGAGCACACATGGCCACTGGTTTCTTGGTTACTCTGCTAAATACAACAGCTACTGAAGAGTGGAGATTTCATCATATTTGGCAGTTGTTCTGCCCACAGGCCAGCAATCAAGTTAAGTGTCAGGCAAGTGTTGGAGAGCAAGACAACTCTGACCCTGCACTTACTAGAGAAGACCAGTATTAAGCAAATGGTTACCATGCTGACAGGTTCATTGAAGGAAATGCACACAGCACAAGTAACCTGGAGAGTTGGCAAAGGCTTCCCTAATGACGCCATAAAAGCCTAGCCTGAAAAGATGAATTGGAGAGACAGAAGGCAGAGGGGGCAGTGCCCTTCTAGCAGAGAAAGATGTTCTTGAAGGCCTGGGGGAAGGAGAGTCTCCCAAATTAGAAAGGACAGTGCCAGGACTGAAATGAAGGAGAGTGGCTTGAGATAAGGCAGAGAGGGGCCAGATCATACTGAGACTTGGGATAGGTTCTGGGTATAAGGAATGAGAAGTCACTGGAAACTTGTATGCTTTTGAGCTTTTGCTTTTTAAATTTTTTATGAGAAACTTCAAATATATAAAGCATTGGAGAAAATCATTTAATGAGCCCAGAATCCCATTACGTCTATCACCCGGTTTTTAAAATTCTATCATTATTAAGATAATCTATCCTTTTTAATAATTCTATCATTTAATATCTAGTTTGTATTTATACTTTCCCAGTCGTCTTAAACAGATATTTTTGTTTTGTTTTGTTTTGTGGTACCAGGGATCGAACTCAGGACCTTGTGCTTGAAGGCAGACGGCAGCACCGCTGAGTTAAATCCCCAGGCCTTAAACAGATACTTTTGATACTTGGTTTGGTTGTTTCAGAATCCTGCATAGGAATCGCATCGTAGTCAGATGGCATGTGTCTTCACATTCCTTCTAATTACTGGCATTTCCCCCTTCACCCTCTATATTTCTCATGTATTTATGTTGAAGAAGCAAGGTCATCTGTTTTGAAGATTTTCCCACAGTTTAGATTTTGCTAACTGCATCATTAGGGTAGAGTTTAACACGTTCCTTTATCCCATCTCCCATATTTCCTATAAACTCATTGAGATCTTGGGACATCAGAAAAAAGACCTTTTTTATTTTTTTGGAGGCAGGGTCTTGTTATGTGATTCAGGTTGGCCTTAAACTCTCAGTGATCCTCCTGCCTCAGCCTCCTGAGTGCTGGGATTATCGGCACTGGCGCTGGTGCTGACCAAAAAAAAAAAAAAGACATTTTAGCAACACCACATCATGGTAATACTTTGTACATGCTTCATATTGTACAACTTATGAGATATCTGCAGATGTCCTGCTTTGAATGATGATGGATGGCTAAGTGCACCCAGAGTTGTCCGCCTGAACCATCCTAACTACCAGCTTGCAGAATATTTAGTGCCCTAGCAGCCTTTGAAAATGAGAAGGGTCACTGGTTAGGATCATTGTGAATAAGTTCTTGGATGTATATGTATCTGATATCTGATCTGTGATAGTCAATTTTTACATCTTTTTTATTAATGCATATTGATTATACAGATCCGTGGGTTTCATTTTGGCACAGCTGTACATACACATAGCATACTTTGATCATTTTTACCCCCTTTCCCTCCCCTCCCCACAGGTTTTACTTTTTTTATTTTTTTTGTTTCAGTGCTTATATTTTGATCTTAAACATCCCTCTACAGTCAGGATTTTTTTTTTTTTGGTACTGGGGATCAAACTCAGGAACCTCGCGCTTGCCAGGCAGGCGCTGTGCCTCTGAGCTACATCCTCAGCCCACAGTCAGAATTTTTTAATGCTTTCATTGTTCTCTCTGTGGTCATTGGAAGCCCTTCAGGTTGGCTCCTGTGTCTTCTTTCTTTTGTTTTTGTTTGATGTTTATGTAAATGCACTTTACTATTTCCTCATGCCTTTAATTGTAGTCATTCTCAAACATAAAAGTTGAAAGACTAGTTCATGAATACTTGTATGTCCCTTCCAGCTTTAAAGGTATTTTGCCTTTTCTTTCTCTCCTCTCTCCCTGTATATATGCAAATACACACACACACACACACACACGCACGCACGCACGCACGCACACACACTATACATCTATTTTGTGTTTGAAAGAGTTGTGGAAATTATGGAACTTCACCCTCATAATTCAGTGTGTCTCCAAGAATGATTATAGCCACAGTTTCAGGTTCTCCCCTAAGAACATTAACAGCATGTAATTTCATCAGTCACCTAGTGTCCAAGCTTATTCAGATTTCCCCAGTTGTTCTATGGGTGTCTTTATAGATTTTTTTTCCTGATCAGGATCTAATCTAGTCATATATTACAAAAGGTTATTAAGTCTCATTAAGCTGGCGGTCCCCCCACACACACATCATGACAGTTATTTTTCTTAGGTTTTTAAGTACTATTCAATATTCTGAATTGATCTGTTTCCTTTTGTAACTACTGAGTAATTCTTTATCCCCTGGACTTCCTATAAGGGGGAATTGAGTTCTGAAGAGGTCTGATAGAGATGCAGGTTAGACATTTCTGGTAAGAGCCTTCATAGGTAATGGTGCTCAGAAGGCTCTGAACATTTCCCTCTCCACATCCCAGTGATGTGTCCTAGGCCTATCTTGTGCATTTCCTGCCCTATACATGGGATCAATCATTACCCCAAAGAGCACCAGTTGCCTTCAGTAGGAAGTACTAAAAAAAAGTTTGCAGTCTGGGCTTATTAATGGTTTTCTGAAGCTTGGGGAAGTCGTTTTGTTTTGGGTTTTTTTTTTTGCTACCGGGGATCAAACTCAGGTCCTTGCGCTTGCGAGGCAGGCGGCAGAACCACTGAGCTAAATCCCTGACCCTAGAGAAGTCTCTTTAAGACAGCTCTCCAGTCACAGAGAGGGGAAGAGAAAGTAAAGGGAAGTGTTTGCAGGAGGGCAAGGTGGGAGACTCATTGTGCTTCCAGGGAGGGATGGTGGTGGCCTAGGGAGGCAGCAGTCAAGGCAGGTAGACTTCAGAGGATGAAGAGACAGAACCATTGGCATATAAAGGGATGGAGTTAAGGATGGCTATCGTTTCTCATGTGAAGAACTGGGTAAACCACAGTGGCATTAGTGGCAATAGCCCAGAAAAAGGAGCAGATCTAGGGAGAAAATTGGAGTGTGCTATTTAGGTAGAATGTTTGCAGGAGGCTGGGTCTACAAGTCTAAACACAGGAAAGAATTTGTGAATTTGTGTCTAGCCAGAGCTGTATTACTATTTTCTTTTTGGTGGCATGATACTGGGCATTGAACCCAGGGCCTCGTGCATGCTAGGCAAGTGCTCTTCCACTAAGCTATATCTCCAGTCTTTTTGTTTATTGTTTATTGTTTTGTTTTGTTTTGTGTTTATTGTATTTTGAAGCAGGGTCTAATAAGTTGATCATACTGGCCTGGAACTTGATTCTCCTGCCTCAGCCTCCCAAGTAGGTAGAATTAACAGCATGCACTAGCGGACTCGGCTGGAAGTGCCCATGTTTTGATTGAAAGAATGTTTTGGGGTCAGTGGTGGAGCACTTGCCTAGCATTCACAGGGCTCTAAGTTCAATCCCCAGCACCACAAATAGAAAAGAATGTCCTGCTTGACTCTAATTAGCCCTTTGTCAGCAAGTTAAAATTTTCTTTCTCCCCATAGGTCTCGCTCTCGAAGCAGACATTCCCGGAAGAGCAGAAGCCGAAGTGGTAGCAGCAAAAGCAGTCGATCCCGGTCCAGGTGGGTCTGCCTTGGGATCGGGGAGGTTGGCAGGAAACACCTGCACCATGACTCACTTTGATTTTACCTGTCACCCATCTTCGCACTGGCTGTTCCATCTCCACATTAGAATTGGGGGGACCAGAGAGCAGTCCTTGGCCATGCAGCCATGCATCACTCTCTGTGGTCTTTTCATCCCTACTAGCATGAAGTGTGACACCATATGCCATATCTCCTCAGGTCGGGCTCCCACTCCCGGAGCAAGAGCCGCACTCGAAGCCAGAGTCGTAGCCGCAGCAAGAAGGAGAAAAGCAGGAGCCCCAGCAAGGATGATAAGAGTCGCAGCCGTAGCCACAGTGCGAACAAGAGCCGCAGCAAGAGTAAAGACCACACTGAAGACAAAATCCAGAACAATGACAGCACTGGGAAACCCAAAAGTCGGAGTCCCAGCCGGCATGAAAGCAAAAGTAAAAGTAGGAGCAGGAGCCAAGAGAGGAGAGTGGAAGAGGAGAAGCGAGAGAGCATGAGCAGGAGCCAGAGCCAGGAGAAGAGCCGCCTCAAGAGCAGGAGTCGGAGTCGGAGCAAAGCGGGCAGCCGCAGCCGGAGCCGCAGCAAAAGCAAGGATAAGAGGAAGGGCAGGAAAAGAAGCAGGGAGGAGAGCCGCAGCCGCAGTCGTAGCCGCAGTAAGAGTGAGCGGAGCAGGAAGCGCAGCAGCAAGAGAGACAGCAAGGTGACCAGCAGCAAGAAGAAAAAGAAGGAAGACACCGACCGCTCGCAGTCCAGGTCTCGGTCCCGCTCAGTGTCAAAGGAGCGAGAACACGCCAAAGCTGAGTCTGGCCAGGGGGAAGGCCAAGGGGAGAGTGAAGATGCTGGCCCTAATCCGGAGACCCGATCCAGGTCAAGATCCAATTCCAAATCAAAACCAAACCCTCTGACAGAATCACGCTCCAGATCAAAGTCGGCTTCAAAAACCCAGTCTCGGTCTAAGTCTCGATCCAGGTCTGCTTCCAGATCGCCCTCCCAATCTAGATCCAGATCCCATTCGAGGTCCTAACCGGCTACGACCACGGCTGGAACTACCCGAGAAGTTTTTTGTACATGTTTGGTAGCCGTAGCACAAGTGATTGAGGTAGAACATCCGTCACTGCTGTACATTTTTAACTCCCCTAATGGTGTGTCTATAATTGTTAAATCTAAGTGCTTCCTCTCAGTAAAGCCTCCTGGCGCCAGGCCTTCCTGCTCGACTGAAAAAAATCTTCTCTTCGAAACTCCCTTTCCTCATGGCCCACAGTAGAATATCCAAAATGCCTTGGCTTTCAGGCCTGGCCTTTCCTACAGGGAGCTCGGTACCTGGACAGCTTTAAGGCTGGAATGATGGCATAGGTAGGTATGGTGAGTTCAACCATTTTTGCCCTTGAATTGATGCCCTTTGATGTATGCCATTTAGTGAAAGTGCTAAGTCTTCAGTTTCTACCACTTTGGTTTCATATTTTTGGACTTAACAAAGTTGTGAATAGCACAGTCGAGGAAAACTGATACCTGCAGTAACCCATAGGAAATAAACTGTAGAGTTCCATATTCTGGTATTGTGATTATATTGTTTTATATTAAAAAAAAAGAAAAGAATTTTTTTTAATTTTATTTTTCCCCGTCTTGCAAAGTATAGTGACCCCTGTTTCCATTAAATTTGAATAAAGACTATTTTTGCTTGACAAAATTTCATGGTGCTTGAATCAGAGTTGCATTTCCTGATGTATCTTGATTTTTCCTTCGCATAAGATGTTCATCTGTCATGGCTGTTTTGTTCCTTGGGATCACCTGTGGTAGGGAGCCAGCACTTCCCAAAGAACTTTTCTCACCAGGGTAATAAAGGCAAGTTTCCCGGAATTTATGATTTTGGGATTCTGATTAAGTTTGTGGCCACGCTGATGAGAAATGAAGTCATTTGGAAATTTGGAGCATTGTCAGTGAGTTCTTCATGAACATGGACTTCTTCCATGCTTTTTGTTGAACTTGCCATGATCCTATGCTATAATCCTCTAATCACTAGGATTTGAGCTAATTCACAACCGGGGGGGAAAATGATCCTGGGATTACCTTGTCCCAGTGATTCTTGCACTGCAGGAGGTGCCTGACAGTGGTTCCAACCTGGTCTCAGCATTGGCACTACTGAGGGCTATCAAAATGGAGAGGAAGCTACAGTACCCTCAGAGTGTCTGCAGCAAGCTCGGGGGGAAGACAGCCGTTTCTCACACAGCTGTCTTCTCAGCTGTACACCAAACCCATAGGGTGCTCTGGGAGTATAAAAGCAGAGTGTCTCCTCATGCCTCTAATCTCTGCACTAGAAAGGCAGGAGGATCACTGAGTTCAAGGCCAGCCTGAACTACATAGCGAGATCCTGTCTCCAAAAACAACTTCAGATCAGAGGCATCAAAGTTTACCTTTGGGATTTGGGTGTGGGAGTAAGAGAAGCTTCTCTGAGCACAGCCATGGAGCTGGGAGAGCATGTCCAGTGGACCTGTGAATGTGGGGCTTGATGATGGGCATTAGGGAGGCGAGCTAGCAAGACAGATTGGATCCTAGACAGCTTCAGTACAAGGAGGAGGGGTTCTGCCTCCATCCAGGACCAGGGGCTCTGAAAGTGAGCCAGCAGGGTGCAGGGAGTAAGTAGACCTTTGTCCTGGACCTGGCAGCAATGAGGATCTGGATCAGGAAACCAGCACTTCTTGACACACAATGCCTGGGCCGGGGATTTAGCTCAGTGGTTTCACCGCCTACTTCACAATTGGAAGGTCCCGAGTTCAATCCCTAGTACCAAAAAACAAACACATACAATGCCAGATGCCATGGGGCCTGGTCAGAGGCAGTGACAGGAGGCAGCGAAGAGGAGCAGCCTGAGGAAGGGTGCTCAAGTGGTTCCAAGATGATGAAGCAGCTCTTTGGTTCGGCGGGGAAAGTGGAGGTGATTTGGATCCATTTAGAAAGACAGATGTTTGGGAGCAGACTGGGCAGCCAAACTAAAGAAATGAGTATCCTTAGAGCTTCCCACATCTTACCTGAGTGCATTCTTTGACATCTTGACAAGGTGAGGGATCCACTAAAATTTCCCCTACCTCAAAGGGTGTCATGTTGGTCTCCAGGGAATGATGAGAGTTCATTACTCACTTTCTCCCTGTAAGGATGAGGACATTGCTTTCTTTCATAAATTCAAAAGCCCACACTGGGGAGTAGCTTAGTGTATGCTTAGCATGCTCAAAAACCCTGCGTTCATCCCTAGTGCCAAAAGAAAAGAGTTTTTAAAATATTTATATTAATTTCATGCTAACACAGCAACTCCCTTTTCTCTTATGAGTATTGGAAAGTTCTCACTTAACTATAAGCACGTTGATTGTAGCCTAATGAATTTAGCACTGTGTTCTTTGAATTTAATGGTATGGTATGGGAATTACATTTGTACATAGGATTTCCAGCGGTGGTCGGCAGTTTTTACATTTATTTATATTAGACTCTGGATAAAGAAAGCAACATGAGAAAAACGCAACCTGTCACCCACTGAGTTCTGAATGTGCACCAGAGATAACATTAGGGACTCTCCTATGTAGTTTTAATCTTTTCTCAGTAAAATCCTGGGATCAGTAGTTTTAGATCCCAGTGCAAATGAGACTAGCATAATGACCAGCCACCACATTTAGCAGTTTCTCATAAGGCTAAACATATTCTTACTATCCTGCAGTGTCTCTCCTTGGTATTTACTTGAATAAGTCGAAAATGTGTCTACACAAAAACCTGCATTCGAATACTTAGACCAGCTCTTCACAATTATCAGGCCTTGTCAGGAAGCAATCGAGATAGCCTTCAGCAGATGAATGGATAAATACACTGGTACCAGTGGCAGCCTGATGGCCCCTACACTTCCCATCTCCAGGGCCTGCCAACATGGCCCCCACCTTATCTTTTTTTTTTTTTAAGTTGTGATCAAAAAGGTCCAGTAAATATAGTAAAAGAGATGTTGCCATTAATCCCCCTCACAACCAGGTGTGCTGAGGCAGGAAGATCACTATGAGTTGAAGGCTAACTTGGGCTACATAGTTTAAGGCTAGCCTGAACTACAGAGTGAGACCCTGTCTCAAAACCAAAAAAGAAAAACATTAACCCCCCCTCACTGCAAACACACTTAGTATTTTTGCTACTTTCTGCAGCATTCTGGAAGTCCTCCCTCTTTCATTAGTGTCTCGTTGTGCTGTCATGGCTGCTTCCATGTCCTGAATCCATTCAAAATGTTTGCCTTTCATGGTCATTTTGACTTGGAAGAGCAAAAGTTCCACAGTACTGTATCTAGTGAATAAGGTGGGCGGAGATGCACTATGATGTTTTACAAGCCTGCTCTTAGGTTGGATGGCACTCAATGTATTTTTTGGTCACTCTTCCTAAACACACAAAAGAGGACTTCCAGAACTGCTTCAGAAAGTGGCAAGAACAATGAGATAAGTATTTGAAGAGAGGGGGAGTATTTTAGGGGATTAATGGCAGTGTATATTTTACTGTAATAGTTTTTCTTTTTTTTTTTTCTTTTTTGAGACAGGGTCTTGCTATGTAGTTCAGGCTGGCCTCAAACGTGATCCTCCTGCCTCAGCCTCCCAAGTGCTGGGATTACAGATGTCCATCACCATGCCCAGCTAATGTAATAAATTTGTAAAACTAAGTATTCAGTGTATATTTTGCTCATCCTTTCTGAGTTCCTCAGGTTGGCCTCAAACTCAAGATCGCCCCCTGCTTCATCCCAGCACGGATGGGATTACAGGTGTGCGCCGCCACATCTAGTTCCCACACTCCAGCCTAGACCCAGGCAACCTAACTGCCTCACTTGAGTACCAGCAGCTCTCAGTCCAACAAGATTCAGCATGTGGAGTGAGGTGGTTCTATTCATCCTGCAAAGGAGGGCCCAGAAAAGAAATGTAAACCCCAGGAATGCCTGGCTCCCTCTTTAGGAAGGACCTCTCTGATTCTAAGCCTGATCTGTATATGTCACAGGGGAGATGGAAGCCAGGGAAGGTTGGTTTTGTTTTGTTTTCAGTACTAGGAATTAAACTCAGGGCTTTCCCCTGAGATACATCTCCAGCCCTATTTTGTTTTTATTTTGAGACAGGGTCTCACTAAGTCATTTAGTTGCCCAGGCTGGGCTCCAATTTATAACCCTGCTTCAGCCTCCCTGAGTTCTGGGATTACAGGAATCATCATCATGTGTGGCTCATGGAAGGGTTTTGGCAGGGAGGGTGGTTTGGTTTGGTTTGGTTTTTTTCTTTTTCTTTTTTTTGGTACCGGGGATCAAACTCGGGGCCTTGTGCTTGCCAGGCAGGCATCGGAACCACTGAGCTAAATCCCCGGCCCTGGTTTGGTTTTTTTGTTTGGTTTGGTTTGGTTTGGTTTGGTTTTTTGAGACAGGGTCTTGCTATGTAGCCCAGGCTGGCCTCGAACTCCCAGCAATCCTCCGGCCTCAGCTTCCCGAGTGCTGGGATTAAGTGCACCATCACGCCCAGCTCATGGAAGGGTCTTGAACAAGATGGGGAGCTCCAGATTCCGCCTGGGTCAGGGCTCCTCAGTGACCTGATCTAACACACGAGAGGCTGTCCCCACCACCCCTCACCTCGGAGGGGGAAGGAGCGCTTCTGTTCCACACTGAATAGACTTGGAGCTTGGAGAACAAGCTGGTCTGATGGAGACATGGGGCAGGTCCCACGGATACTGGTCAGCTCCCAAGTCCCATCCAGTCCCCACGAAGGAGCTACACACAGCCCATCCCCACCCACCATTTTGCATCAGCAGCTGTGTCTGATGGGGACTCCTGGGGGACAGAAGGGAAATCAAGGTAGGGATATTGGGAGGAAGAGAGGGTGGGGCAGGGGCTCAGGAGAGGGGCAGCAGGTCCCCCCTGCTGAGTTGGCCTGTCCCTGCCCTGCTTGAAACCTAGAGCAGTGTCTGGCCCCACTTCCTACCCCATTTCCTGCTCTGCCTTGGCCAGTGACACACCTCTGTGCCTCAGTCTCCTCATGTGCAAAATGGGAGTGACGGTAGCTTCTGCAGAGTAAAGTGCTAAGCAGGAGTCTCCCCACAGTGAGAGCTCAATGTCTGATGAGATCGGGTGCATTCAGAGTGGTATGGCTTGTAGACAGCTCACTATCTGATGCTGTCAAAATTACACAAAATCAAAATGGGCTGGAGGTGTGGCTTAGTGGTCAAGCATTTGGCTAGCATGTGTGAGTTGCTGTGATTTCCCCCAGGATGGCGGGGGGCCACAAAAACTGGTACAATTAGTTGTAATAATAATGGAATATTACTTAGCAATAAGAAATGAGCTTAAGCCACAAAAGACACGGAGGCAATTTAAATGCATATTGCTATGTGAAAGCCAGTCTGAAAAGGTACATACTATCTGATTTTAACTAGGATATTCTGGAAAAGGCAAAACTGGAGACAGTGAAAAGATGGCCAGGGGAGAGAGGGAGGGATGAGCATGTGGAACTCAGAGGATTTTCAGAGCAGGGAAGCTGGTGTGGCTGTTGTCATGGACACCTCACTTTACGTGTGTCAGAACTTGGCAGGAGCCACACTGAGTGAGCCGAGCTGGGCGTTAGTAATAACAGGTATCAGTCCATCAACTCTAACACGCATTCCACACTTACTCGAGATGTTAGTAACAGAAGAAAGGGAACAGGGAGGAGGGGATGGGGAGAGGGAGACAGGAACTCCACTTCTCACTCAATTTTTCTGCAAATGTGTAAGTCTTACTTTTTGTAAAGGTGCAGGAGTCGATCTGATGGCTCCTGTGTCTACAGACTCCTTCAGGCAATTCCCCCTCTCTCCATCGTCTCCCTTTAATGTCCTGTGACCCCTCTGCTGAATTAGGGGTTGGTGAACCATAGCCTGTGGGCCAAATCCAGCCCTCTGCTTCTTTTTATGTACGCCACCACATTCACATTTTTAAATGGTTGGAAAGATGAAAATATTTCATGATATATAAAAGTTATACCAAATTCTTGTTTCAGTGCACACTGTGGGCACCCAGCCATGCTCATTTGTTCAGGAATTATCTGTACAGGTCGAGTCCCTGGGACAGGGACAGGTGAGCCTTCAAAATCTGAAATATTTGCTAGTGGCTCTTTAGGAAAAGAGTTGGCCAAACCTGCAATAAACAGCACATTTAACCACGGCCTGTAGGCAGTTATGAAGGCAAAGGGAAGAGAAGGGGAATTAGTTAAAATATATAAACTAGCTGGGGATTTAGCTCAGTGGTTTTTGTCACCTGCTGTGCAAGTGCAAGGACCTGAGTTCGATGCCCTGGTACCAAAAAATAAAAAATAAAATAAAATATATAAATTAACATGAGGCATATCCAAAAAAGAAGTATAAGGGTGACCAAAAATATGATGTATTTAAAATTTTTAATGTATTATAGTAAAAGACACATTGCCATTAACTGCCCCCCCCCAAAAAAAAACTCCCTCTCACTTCAAATATCTTTCTTGCACTTTCTGAAGCAATTCTAAGAGTCCTCCTTTGTGTCTGTACAAGATGTGATCAAAAACTACAGTGATGGGCCGGGGATTTAGCTCAGTGGTTTCATCACCTGCTGCGCAAGCACAAGGACCTGAGTTCAATCCCTGGTACCAAAAAAAAAAAAAAAAAAAAAAACTACAGTGAGCAGTGATCAGGGATTTAGCTCAGTGGTTCCGGCGCCTGCCTCAAAAGCACAAGGTCCAGAGTTCGATCCCTGGTACCAAAAAAACCCGAAACTATAGTAAGCGCTGCTGCAGAGTGCCATCCAACAGAAAGGCAGTCTCATAATACATCATGAGGTGTCCTTGTCCACCTTATTTGCCAGATCTGGTGCCAGGAGACTTCTGGCTCTTCCCCAATGAAAGGGAAATATTTTAATTGATTCAGGACACTGAGGCAGCCATGACAGAGCAACTCAAGCATAAGAAAGGACTTTTAAAACTGCTTCAGAAAGTGGCGAGGGCTATGGGATAAGTGTTCAAAGTGAAGTGGAGTATTTTGAGGGGGATTAATGCAATGTGTCTTTTACTGTAATTTTTATAAATTTAAACATTCACTGTATTTTTCAACCATACCATGGAGTAGTGGCTATAGTCCTATTTTGCTACAGTCAGCAGAAGCCTTGGCTGAATTTTCCCTCCCAGGCGTGAATTTTAATGGCATGCACAGATACTTATGAATGAAACTTGTTGGTTTTTTTTTTTAACTGGGGATCGAACTCGGGACCTTGCGCTTTCGAGGCAGGTGGCGGCACCGCTGAGCTAAATCCCTGGCCCCAAAGCTGGTTTTTACAAAGGAAGAAAGAGGAAGCCAGCTGCAGTGGCACACTTTTGTCACCCCAGATATTTAGGAGGTGGAGGCAGAAGGATTCAAGTTTGAGCCAGCCTAAGCAAGTTAGTAAGACTCTGTTTCAAAATTTAAAAAGAGGGGGCTGGGGATTTAGCTCAGTGGCTCCGCTGCCTGCCTCGCAAGCCCAAGGACCCTGGTTTGATTCCCAGTACCAAAAAAAATTTTTTTAAAGAGAAGGGGATGTAGCTCCTATAGTTTTCTGTTGCTGTTTGTTTGTTTTTGAAGTGCTTGGGATGGAATCCAGGGCCTTATATATATATACTAGACAAATGCTCTACCTGAAAGTCATACTCTTAGCCCCAAGCATTTT